TCCTCGGATTGTCTGGAGCAACATTCTGAGGTAGAAGCACTCGGCGTGCTTAGGGTGTGCAGTATATACACGTCCCAAAACATCCGCAGCACGTATGCCAGGTTGTCCGGGAACTTCAGCACCTTGCTTTCTTCTGGCCCACTTCTTTATTGAATTGTTCCAAGTTTAATACTTTGGAACTTCTGAACACAACAAAGTCCGTGCAAATGGATCGTGTTCGCACAGAAGGAAGAATGCTGTGAGAGTCGTCTGAGGTGGTTGCGCAGTTCTTTGCCGCGCATTATCAGCCGTAAAGTAGACGCGTTGTCCATTTTTTAGATGGACACTCAAGTGAACAACGGGTGGATAATGCTCGTGGATTTGGAAACCCAAAATGCGCCACACTGCCTCGTTGCTGCTTATGTACCTGCCCGTTTGATATCGTTCAATCTCATCAAACGGTGCAGTGGCATGCTCGAGGCCGAACGTTGCCATGTCACTTCCCTTGTTCACATATTTGCAGACGTACTTAATCGACTTTACCGAATTACAGTACTCTACATTAATATGTGCCTTGAACATCTTCGAGAGTAAGGGAGTGTATGGCACCACCCAGCTGTTGTCAACCTCAACGTCCACAGACTGATGGTCCATCCTCATCCTAACGACAGCGGTATATCCTCTTTCATCTGGTTTTCGCCTTCTGTAAAGGGTACAACCGTCTCTTCCCGTTTGGGTTTCGCGGATCAGCTGCCGAGGGTACCTCTTTGTGCACTTGCCGTCCTTCATGCAAGGCGACCTCGGGTTTAGTGGTCCACATGGCCCATGGATCATATTTTTGAGGACAACATCGAACAAAAGAGGATCCTCTTCTCGATTGGGAAGCTCCGCTGAGATGATCCTGTCAATCTGATCTGGGCGAATCTTCTCCTTCAGCCACATTAAATTGTGGGCATGCGGAAGACCGCGTTTCTGCCATTCCACGGTGTACATCCACGGCGAGTTTCTCCGTAGACGTGGCTTTTGGTTAGCACGTCCATGAGCTTTTTAAGCTTTTGTTTGAAGACCCTCGCCGTGATGTCGTGGCGGTCAGAAGGCGCTTCACCAGGGAAGAGCTCTTCCGCAATTTCGGTCCACGCTGGGTTGCATGTAAACGTGATGAACAGATCAGGGCGACCGTAAACTCTAACATAGGTCATGGCGTCCTGAGTGTACTCGTGCATGTGGCGTGGGCCGCCAGTGAAGGAGGATGGTAGTATGACCATCTGCCCAAAGTCACTGACATTTCCATTTTCGGCCACGGCATCCCGTAGGTGGATATATTAGTCTGCACGTAGCTTTCGCTGATTGCGTCGAATGAACAGGAGCCGTTCACCCTTGATCTTGGCGTACATGTCCACGATGAATTGGTGAAATAGTTGGCGACATTTCACAACATGGTTAAAGGAGGTGGACCTTATCATCATTCGATGCGCATAGAAATCCATAGCCGATACCTTCTTATTGGTAGGAGCACCAGTGCTAGGATTTCGCTGCCATAGTTCGAAGTGATACCCGTCTTTCCCCTTCCAGAACATGAGTGGGTACTGCAGGGCATCGTATGACCTATGGGTTTCAGAGATGCGCTGCAACGAATCGCCACGTTTTTGGATGATAATGTCACGCCTGTCGCAGTCGTCTCCAACTACCAAGACTACCGCCACCTCGTTTACAGATGGAGCGTTGTAGCGTCGTTCATGCTGACCAGCAGGTCGCTTGTCAGCACGGATAACAACCTTATACTCGTCTGTGGGCATCTGCTTCAGGTTGGTCTTGAAGTCCTTCACCAGGTCGTTGTGCTGATGTAGCATTCTCTGCAGCTCTAGCACGACGTCCGGCCTTGTGCCACCAATGATGCCGCAACGTTGGTCCGCTTGCAGCTGCTCGTCGCAGACGAAGTACAGCTGCAAGAACTTGGGGCTATCATTGCCACGAGGAAGCAGGGATCCAACTCTATGATAGACCTGTCCCTGCACCTTAAACGTTGGTATGAAGTCCTGTTCCTCAACGTCAGGCATGGCGACCGTGGTGCCGAAAGAGGTCATCTGGAAGCACGCATTGTACTTCCTGATGTTCTGCAAGAAATGCCTGGACACAGCACTTGTGCCGGACATGTATGAGCGGAGGGGCTCAGGCGGCTCAAGTAGAGGCGGAATGTCGACTTTGCCGCTAGAACAGCACATGCCAGGAGGTTCGGCTCTGAACTTTCTGGCTTGACACTTGCCACATACGACATCCATATTTCCGATCTGTACCTTCGGATGGGTCGAGTAGTCGACCTGGGCATCGTAATTGAGTGCCGCCAGGTGAAGATCTACTCGCCTAGATGTCTGTCGAGTGCGGACTTGTCGAGCACGATCGCCTTCGAGTCGAGACTCTCGCTGTTCAGCCGTCTCCTGAGATCTGGCTTCAGCATTCCTCGACCGCATATCGTCGAGTCGAAATTCGCGCTGTTCAGCCGTCTCCTGAGATCTGGCTCCAGCATGTCTCGCTCGATCGTCTTCGAGTCGAAATTCGCGCTGTTCAGCCGTCTCCTGAGATCTGGCTCCAGCATGTCTCGCTCGATCGCCTTCGAGTCGAAATTCGCGCTGTTCAGCCGTCTCCTGAGATCTGGCTCCAGCATGTCTCGCTCGATCGTCTTCGAGTCGAAATTCGCGCTGTTCAGCCGTCTCCTGAGATCTGGCTCCAGCATGTCTCGCTCGATCGTCTTCTAATCGAGACTCTCGCTGTTCAGCCGTCTCCTGAGATCTGGCTTCAGCATTCCTCGACCTCATATCGTCCAGTCGAAATTCGCGTTGTTCAGCCGTCTCCTGGGCCGGTGGTAATCTACCCTACCTGGTGGCATCAAAGATGCCGGCAAGTTGGCACACATCGCGGAAAGATGCCAACTCCGCCGGCAGCAGTGATTGTAGGTTTTAATAATCTTATGTAACCTTAGCACGCACTCATTTCGCACATTAAGTTTTGATGACGCAGACAGCCGCAAAATTGCTACCTCGCGCGCGATCGAACCTATGCGTGTTAACTTGAAGTGCCACCACGTTAACCATTCGACCATTCGGTCAGCCGCTGCCCTTTGCACCAGCAATAGGAGGAACGCGCTGGTAAATGGCTGCCTGTAAGAGGGATCGATACATTGCGTGAGAGACTTTGACCTGAAAGAACAGCTGATTGATATGAGCGAGAGAGCGGCGAAATCTGTGCAAACGAGATTTATAAGGGATTTCCAAAAAAGATGATGTTTCTTTATGATTCTAAGGCATTACTGGATTTTTTCACTGTAAGAAAATCGTCGTTCTAAAAAAGAAAAACTCGTATAAAGAGAAAAATGATAGTTTTTTTGATGAAAAGTAGAATTTTTGATGTTTTCGCCTGACGTAAATTGTGTGATATCGCCGCAATTCGCAAACTCGCAGACGCCGTCGGCAAAGGTGCCACCACCTCGACGTGGTAGGGGCACGTCGAGGTGCCGGCAGCTCGCTCTCTCAAAAGAGCACGCTATTTCCCGTGCTCTCTGACCTGCCGGCAGCTGCCATCTCGCGGATTCCGGCAACCTGCCGGCAGGTTGCCGGCAACTGACATCGCGAAGTTGCCGGCAGCTCCTCCTGGAATTCCAGATATTTTACTAAAGGAGGAGTTCTGGAGCCGCAAATTTTTATGAAGTTTTCTACAGAGTCAAGGCGGCAACTTTATCGAGAAAATTTTTTGGAAAAAGGCCTGGGACGGCCTAAATTTCGGTTCTTAGTTTCTGGCCACCTCGCGGAAAGGTGCCGGCAACCTGCCGACGAGACCTGCCGCCAGGTCGGGGGGATTACTACCGGCCCTGAGATCTGGCTCCAGCATGTCTCGCTCGATCGCCTTCGAGTCGAGAGTCACGGCTTTCTTGTGACTCTGAGGCTCTCAGAGCAGCAAGCCTCAAGCGAGTTTCTGAGAGACTTTCTTCACGCTGTTCCAGCGTTTGCCTCGCTCTCGCTCCTGCTATTCTAACTCGATTGCCTTCCAATCGATCTTGGTGCTGCTCTGAGGTCTCAGCCTCTCTCTGATCCCTAACCCTCTTGGTGTTGGGATCCACTCTGCCAATGGATGCACGCTTTTTCGGCGGCATTTTGCGTCTTGTATATCGATCTCAGTGCGAATACCAGCTAAGTTTTGATTGAGAAGATGAGGGAAGGCTAGATAAGTTTACCGTAAATTAGAATACGGTAGTGTCTTTTCGAAGACTTCTCAACGTTCTTGCCAACTCCTCAGCTCTCTTTGCTATCAACCGTCCACCAGCTCACACAGACCTAAAGACTGGCTGGAGGCGAGGTGAGCCGCCTTATATACCGATGCCGGTGGGCGGGGCAAACGCTATGATTGGTCGGAGGAGGGGCGGGGCATCGAAAGAGGGCGGTGACGTCATGTGACGCGGCTGTGACGTCACGACTGACCTCGCTGGTTTAATTACCCAAGCTTGAGGTACTTGGGCTGTGACTGTAGACGGCGATCTCGTTGATGACCATGACTCTTTATCAGCCCCCCCCCCCCGCCCCTCCCTTTCCTTACGCCAGATATTAATCTCCTAGCTTGAAGTGACCCCAGTCTAAAGTAAGAGAAGAAGCTGACGACACTGCCAGGTGTATTTGTAGATGCTTGGCACTTGTCGGATTAGATAAAAAATTTCTAGACAGCTAGAAGCCAGATTTAGGGTAACTGGGACTTTATTGCACATATTCAGAAACAACAAAAAAAGCTCACAAAAAAAGGAGGTGAGGCACACCTAAGCTTCGGATAATTTGAAGATCCTCTGGAATGACGATCGTCAAATTATCCGAAGCTTAGGTGGGCCTCACCTCCAAAACTTCATTTTCAAAAATTCTAAACAAAAATACAAATACAAACAATTAGAATACTATACTTCACAAAAAATACAAAAACATACAAAAAATACAAAAAACAAAACGAAAAACAAAACTATACAAAAAGAACAAAAAAAAATTTATTTAAGCTAGAGTGCATCCATCTTCGGGGCTGCCTTCTTCTTCCTCCACACGCGCGAGTCTTTGATCCCCGTCGTTCGGCGGCCGGCGCTTTGGCGCCAACGGGGGGCACGGGGCTGTCCGCTTACGGACAGGAGCTTCCAATTCCTTCGTGCCCGAGGGTCTTACTCCCGCTGGCGCCAGCCGGCCGAAGCGCTTGGGCGCTGGGAAGGTCATAGTCGCCACGTCCTGCAATCAACGTTCATCTCAATACTTCATCCGACTTAGGGCTCACCCATACCTTCATCACCGGCCGCCTCGAAACAGGAGACGACGTCGCCCCTCTCCTCTCCTCCTTCTCGGATCCTCGAGGCGACGTCGTCGCGACTCCTCCGGTATCAATTCCGAGGAGTCGCATCGAGCTCTTCTATCGAGCTCTACGACTCCATCACTGAATCCAACAATCGCCTCCACCAACAATTTCGCATTCACTCTTAGTACGTCTCCGCTCACCATCACTGACGATTGAATCTGCCGGACTGACCCATCCAGTCGCCTTTTATACCGTCCTCAGGGAGAAGCTCCGCCTCCTGATGAGGACGGTGACTGTGACGTCACAGTGACGTCACCGGGCGATTTCGCACCATTTAAAACCAGGGAAACAGCACAGTGACGTCACAGTGCTGTTACGGACTTGACGTCATTGTGGCGTCACAGTGCTGCTGTGGACTTGACGTCACTGTGACGTCACCGGGCTATTTCGCAACTGTGACGTCACTGTGACGTCACTGTGACGTCACACTACGACTGAAAAACCAGGGTACAGCACTGTGACGTCACAGTGCTGTTACGGACCTTAACGTCACTGTTACGTGACAACACGGTAGTAAAATCAGCAAAATAGCTTTTTCGGCACGCCCACTTACCCCCTTCTGCCAACTTTTATCCAGGTAGCTCAAAGCTTGCATAAAAATTGATAAAATCGATAAAAGTAACGGAAATTTCTAAAAACTAATATTGTATTCGTAATCAGCATGCTCGATTGCCCCCCCCCGTGCCAATTCCAGCCCTGCAGGTCAAACTTTGCAAAAAATCAATAAAATCGATAAAAGTAATCGATAATCCTGAAAACTAATATTGTACTCGTAATCAGCATGCTTGATTACCCCCCCCCCCCCTGTGCAACTTCCAGCCCCGCAGCTCAAACTTTGCAAAAAATCGATAAAATCGATAAAAGTAATGGACGATTTTGAAAACTAATATTGTGTTCGTAATCAGCATGCTCGATTACCCCCTGTGCAAAATCCCAGCCTCGCATGTCAAAATTTACAAAAAATCGATAAAATCGATATCGATCGATAACGAAAAGTAGCCTATGACACGCTCCCTGCCCCAAAGTATATGTGTGCCAAGTGTGGTCTAAATCGGTTCAGAAATAAAAATTTCTATTCCGCACATACGTACAGACATACAGACAGACAGACATACAGACATTCAGCTTTATATATAAGATTATTTTTGTTTATCGATTTCAAGACATGGAAATTGCAGACTTTACATATAATATCAGATGAGAGAACATACGCGTGAGCAAGTTTAGGGTGCAACTTCTGGGAAAATATCCAATTTCTGGGGCAATTGGAAATCTGGATCTCTTCCCAGAAAACTCTGGCTTCCAACTTCCTGTGAATCATATTTTTGCAAAGGTTTCAAATCCATCTTGGCTTGCTTTGCTCTATCGAATAGATACTCACTCTTGGATTTACAATTCAGTCGTAAGGTTTCCGACGATATGAAAATTATGAGACAACTTAAAATATTTACAGCATGAGACACTTGCATAATGGTACTGCCTTTTTCAAAGAACGGCTTTCATTCATAATTTGACATTGCTTGAAGACGTGGATGATGGAGTCACTCGTTCCTGATGCAACGTTAACACAAACATGCTGGAAGCTGTGGAAAAGCTCAAAGGGCTGGGATACCTTAAAATCTTTCTTTTTATGCTGCTGAGAGGCACTTAAGAATGGAATACCCTCTCAGATTTTTGTCTACAAGAAGGTAAGCATTTTTTGTAACTTCTCAAGGGGAGAGGATACTTGGTGCCGGCGGCCTTTCGATATGTGATATGTGTCACGACAATCGGCTTGAAACGCTCATTTTAACAAGGAATGCATGTTTAGTCGAAATGTCCTTCTTAGATGGGATGTATACCATATTGAAGGGCATAAAATGCTGATTCCAAATCTAACCTTCCCTATCTGCAGAACGTTTATGGACAAGGCGTCATGAGCGCTTTGGAGCAAAAAATTGAATGCACAAGCAGGACAAAATAGCCGTAACACTTTTCTAGCCCTTTAATGGGTAGTGATAATCATCATAGCACTTTATTCAACAATACTTCAGAATAAAAACTATATCGCACTAGGTTGTGTTATTTGAGGGCTAGTAAGATTTTGAAAACTCATTTTATCCCAAATGCACATTCAAATTTTTGGCTTCAAAAAACGCTCATAACTCCTCGTCTAATAATGTTCTGCAGATAAAGAAGGCGGATTTAGAATCAGCGTTTTACGCCCTTTAATATGATACACATCTCAATTAGAAAGGCCTCTTTGATTAAATAAGCTTCCCTCCCTTGTTAGAAACGTAGTCCTAATCTGCGGAACGAATCTTCGGAAAAACCGTATCTTGCCGCATCCGACTTGTTTGCACAAGAGTACAAGCAATTCGATAGGTGGTAAAGGTGTCGAATGGTTCAGTGGTTAGCGCTGTAGATCGTTGCAAAATGGAGATGCTGGTTTGATCTCGGTCGGTACGAATATTTAGCGTTTGCTTTTAAGAGCGCTAATTTTTTTTTCAGAAAAAAGTTTCGCAGATATCGAACATAGTTTCGAGATCAGCATTTCGAGGCAAGCATTTTGGTGTATAATATGTTGCAAAAGCCCAGGCCAACGGTCATCGTTCCCTGAATAATTTTGCTTTTTTTGCTGGAGGTTGAATATCCATTTTGTCATAGTTCTCTAAAGCAATTACTTCTCGCTCTCTTCTAGTACTACCATTAATAGCAAGGAACCTATATCCACCGATACTAGTTGAGCCACTTATTTATCGACTGGCTGAGACATCTCCTCCCCCCTCCCCCTCCCTAAGGGCCTTGTCCACTCTTAGGGCCGCATGCACTTAACATCCCCGCTGGGGAGGGGACTGCATCCTAAAAGAAAACTTCATATTCTGAAGCTCCAGATATCTAAATTTCACGCTGTCTACCTGTCCGTAAGTATTCCCACTATTCTTCATTATGAACATGTTAAACAGAAGCGCGAAGCTGTACGAACCGCATTTTCCAGCTTTTGTGAAGACCCCCGGCGCTTTTCTTTAAAGTCATTTTTCTTTCTCCGAAGTTAGCGAAAACCTTCCAAAGTTGTGCTGAACATCTAACACAACAGTGCTAAGCATGTTGCTGATGAGTTTTTGAAAAATCGAATTTTTTTCATTCGATTCGGAACCAAGTATGATGTACAGGGTAAGAGACCTTAATGTGATTTCTCCCAATGTGATGTCTACAAGAAAAAAAGTTTTTGCTAAGCGGTCCACTGCGGAATCCAAATACCAAACTTCAGGAAGAAGAGCTGTGAAACAACATTCTACTGAATGGTCATGTAAGTCCTTTCCTATTCGAGCCTTCAAGTCGTTCTTTTTCAAGAACTAAGGCACCTACAAGGGGGCAGATTTGTGGCAGTATATCTAAGTAAATAATCTATATAATCACATATTTACGAGGAACACAGAACCGCTACAGGCAAACTTTGATATTCATTGCTTTTTTATGAGTCATCAGACCTTGAAACCCAATGCGACTCATGTTTGATGCGAACTTTTGAACGTCTTTTGTAGAGCTTGCTTTGATGTGGAGGGCTCAATGTCAATTGTGCAAGAACAACATCTGTAACTTGGTCCAGCAAACCGTTCAGCAGATACGAAAAGCCTCGCACTAGCGTTCCAAAATCTTTTGAATAATATAGGTTTTGTTGGAAGGGACCATTTTCGCCTCTTTCTTTCTTAATAAGAAGGATCCCAAGATCACAAGGCGATTTGGAACGAATTACATATCTTGAAGTGCGCCTTGTTAAGCTAATTTCGTCTTTCATATCTGCTGCACGGTTCTCCAAATGTTCTGAGCGTTTAGTAGTTCGAATTTAGCTGACATTGAATAACACAACTTCAAAAGTGGTTGTACAAAAACATTTATCTATGTTCCGGTAAATGTGTGCATCTTCTAGTCAATACATTCAACATCACGCTGATTTTGCACTCCCAAGCTTGTTGAAGTACAGTATGCATTAGAGCACTAATAACGTCAATAACTTTTAGTCGCTCATAACTTCTTTTAGAGAACCGAGCATTACTCAGATAATCGCCGGGGCAGGCGGCCATGCGAATTTCGAGCAAGCGGGCACCGGAAAAGTAGTTCGCTGATTTCTTGTAAACGCGCGGGTTTGCAAGAGGCCGTTAGAGTGGTCGATATACCACTCCAGACTTGAAACGCCGACTGGTTCGCAACCGTATATATGATTGCGTTTGTTTGTGACTCCAGGTTGTGTAATATGCCCATACAGCAGAGAGGGTGATTGATTGTATGATGTCAAGAGTAATTTACCGCATAACATGTTTATCATGTGGAGACACCTACATCGGAGAGACCGGGCGCCCTCTTTGTGTTCGCATCAAAGAACATCTAGATGGGCTAAATAAGTGTCAAGGCCCTCCACTCCCCTGGGGCAACATCGAATAAGCCGTCATGAAAATGCTGAAGTCCCTATTGCAGTAAAGATCTTATTGCTTGAGCAGGAAATCCTGGCACGCAAAACGTTAGAAGCATCTTGGGTTGCTAAGCCCTAAAATGAACAGAAAAGACGAGTGCCTTGCAGTCACCAGCGAACTCGCGCCTTATCAGGCCCTCTGTGGTTTTGACTGAGGTCAGTCACTCAGGCGTATAAATAGAAGTTGGAGGCACATTTTGCATAAGGTGGTCTGTTCTCCAGCTACCTGTTGTGCTGTGTCTAAGGTGAGTATTTGTTCTTGTGGCTCTGATAATGTCTTTGACTAATCTCCCCGGGTTTGTTTTGTTCCTGGCACTTAACGTCTAAATGGATAGACACTTATGACTTCGTCTTCCTAGGCTCCGAAGAAAGCATAGATCGCCGAAACGTCGACGTCAGCCAATAAAGTTGTTATACCAATCTTAATGAAGCTCAGCAGTTGTACCGAAAGTGTTCAAAACGATGCCAAGATTCAAGGATAACCGAACCTTCACCGTACTATCTCACCTTTTCTCGGCGTACGCCCGAAACTGCTCAAAAACCGTCCAAGCGCCGGCTGAAAATTTGACCAGCGCTCGCTGAAGGAAATTATTTAAAGACCGCTTGCAAAAAAAGCTGTTTTGCACCAGGGCAGAATATACGACTTTGTGATTTTTTGATTATAATTTTTGGCAGAATATATGACCGTAAAGGAAGTGTCGCCCGCTGAAGGTTTGGCTACGCCCCAAAATTCTGTTACCCGCCTGCAGAAAAGCGCGACTTTGCGGAGCGCCTGTCACCGGCGATCTGAGTAGATACGGAAGATGGGTCTGAAAACAGCTCATCATGACGCATCTGAAGAGATGCATTCCATTTCCATTTGCCAACGCGATTCAGGATCCTTCCCTTGTCAGGCAGCGCGATGAACAAAATTTCTGATCAATCAATTTGAGAATGAAAGAGGTCCCGGCAATTCATAATACTTTAGGGGGAAGGGTGGGCGAGAGACTCTTAGCTTACAAACAGCCATTGGAGCCCACAAAGAGACTTCATGTTACACGCTCGAAGAAAAGTTCAAACAACGATTTGTGCTGAGACAAAAAGAGTAGGATCAAGTAGAATACAAACGGACATCCATTTAGTTTTTTTTTTCAGGAATCTGAAAACTGTTCGGTTCTGGGGACTTTGGTTTGATACACTTAAGACGCCACTAAATCCCGATGAGTCTACGAAAAGCATCTAGTGACACACTGAATCCGTTGAATCGGTATTTTTTGACCCTTCAAGTCATACTCTGCCAACTCAGACGTGGAATGGAGCAAGATTCAATTACCAATCAAGATACCGTATAGCATTTTTTCGGCTCAATTCGTTTTTCTAGGGCAGAGTTTGCGCATACCTTAACGATAATACGGCGAATATCAACGCGTCCAGCTCAGCTAAAAATGCTAGATGACTACTTATATTCTCGAATTATTTTTATTTCTCTCTGTAGGAAATAATCAAAAAAGTGCCTACCGAAGCTTTCAGTCACATAATTTTCATGAATTTCAACAGTTTTCCTAGCCCTTTTGAGTCTAAATACAATATTTGGCAGTAATATCTTATGGGTGCGCTGTAAGCGAGCGTAGCTTGTTTTTATCACAAGAGAAGGATACCAAGTAAGTCGGTCCAGCCGTTTTCAACATAACATATATGGTTCATCTCGATTTGAATCCTCATGTATGGTTCATCTCGGTTCAAAAAGCTCATATTCGCATTTCCCCACCTCTGCCTCAGACAGTCGACGGCATACCTCCGGAGCAGAAATGGCCAAGCCGCGAGGTTTCCCCAGCTGGGGATTGCCACTCGTGCTCCGGAGCCCTCCCATTTGTGCTCCGGAGCCCTGCCATTTTGTGCTCCGGAGTCCTCCCATTTTGTGCTGCGGAAGGCTGCCGCGGCATACTGTAACTAGCCCTAATTAAGCTCCAAACCCCAATTTTGTCTCTAAACCCCACCCAAATTAGCCGAATACGACCCCCGCCCCGGGTAGGACTTCAGCGCGACCCTCAACCCCGTTTTTTACCCCTCTCTCTCACCCCTAGCGTTTATGGATAGAAGATAGAAGAAAGTTGAAGAGACAAGACATTTATTTTGAATCAACTGCAAACAATCTCCAAGGCCCACATTAACCTCACAGAACGCCGCATTTTCAAACGACACCATGGACGGCGGATTGCGAAGCACACTGTATACGACGCCTTTCAAACCACTGCAAGTTTCCTCAAAATTGCGCCTGTCTCGGCAAAAAGGACAAATGTTAGAAGGAGGAGAAAAGGTTGCATCGAATGGTGACGAAGTGTTTAACATTTTATGTTCTACGAAGTTAAAATGGGCAAAAATAGGGTAAATGGGTAAATTTTTTTCAATAAATGAGTGAAATTTGGTCACTTCAAAAAATAAATCGTAGAAATTCTGAAAGACAAGCCGTAGGGATAAGAAAACTGCTTCTGTTGGCAAAAGGTTTGCCCTATCTGCTTGTTATTAGGGCTCCTTCGAAAGTCTCACACAAAAATTTTGAAAATTAGTGGTTGGACATGATAAAAACGAATGGTTGCAATTTCCAGCGAATATCTCATCATTCTCTCAATGAAACACAATGGAAGTTTAGCAGCTGGAAAGGGAAAGAAATTCTGCATCGGATACTAAACATTCAGTGATCATGTAAGAAGCCAGGGCCCTGCACAGATCGTCTGGAAGCATGCCGGACTTCGTTTCGGGAGCAAAAAGCAAAGGATTATCGTTTATGGCGAAATGAGGCCGAGCACCAAGAATAAGCGCCATTTAGTCGAACACAAGCTTTTCGGACAGGTTATCACACGATTGACATGCTCTATTGTGTATGACGAAAAGTGCGCGCGATTTGAAAACAAGGCTAAAATAAACAAATTGTAGGTTGACGGCGCACACAGAGTCATATGACACCAAATTTGAACTGTTTACAAAGAATGTTATTGGCAAAAGAATCATGCAAAAAAATTTGAAAACTTATGTTAAGTACTACCTTTTCCAAAATTAGTCCGTCTCCAGAAGGTCACCAGACGATCTGAGATCGTCTGGAGCATATATTTCCGTCACTTCACCTAAGTTGCGGATCTTTTTAGCATAGACGGATTCCCCGGTCAAAAATCTATCCCCTAGCATGAAGACATTTTCATATCATTGCCTTTCCTTTGTTTTTTGCCTAATTTTTTTTCGTAAATCGCTTTGTTACATAGCGCGCTCCAATGCCAAACTCTTGAGCATGCAGAGCAATCAGCTCCAATCTGGATTTTCATTTCTATCTCACGTTTTTTCCTTCTTAGAATTTCTCTTGTTTTCATCTTCTTCTAGGTAGGTAGGTCAAAGAGGTCGTCGTAAAATTTCCGAAAGTCAGGGGAGTCTTCTTTTTCAGAATCCTTAGAAGCCGACTCGTGCCGGGCCCTGTAAAAAGCCAAGCATTGTTTTGTGCTTGAACTACAATGATTGATCCATTTGTCAGGCTTGGTGTTTTTCGTTGCATTTTATAGCCGCCTGTGGTTCTTTTGCTCCGGCTAATGCTTCGAATGTTACATTAGCAACCCAAAACGCAGACCACAGAAAACAAAGTGCTTTTTTCTGCAACTTTTATCAACGCGAGTTGGAAAGCTTACAGTTGGGGGATTTGCCTACGTATATACCTGGTCAACCGATTTAGACAAATGTTTCAGAAATTCTATTCGTTTATTTCTATATTTCTATTCATCTCATTTGATTACACGCAAATGAGTTCTCTTAATAAGCAACATTTACGAAGTAAGTTAGTATGGAGTTTTACCTTTTTTGAAATTTCAAGGTTGGATTGGTTCAAAATCTGTCATAGTTCAAACGTCTCGTCTAACAAGGAAAAAAAAATAGAAACTTTGCAGCCTGTCAGTTGTGATCGGAGCACGCACGTGGGGGAATCGAGTGAATGCATGCTATGATATCTGCGTGCTCCGCGGACTCTATTATTGACGAATGGATGAGTGATGTTGAAACACCCCGGAATTGCTACAAGGGTAGGAAGCAACTGCTGATTCAGAACGGCAAAAATTCCGGGAGATGGTCAAGAGGCGCGATTTCTGCGGCTGTCATTAGCTTAATACTCCAATATGGTGCTATGCGAGTCCTCAAGAAGTACCAGATAAAGTGCATTAGCTTACTATCTGCCTGACATTACCAAATACTGAGTTTGGTAGCTTTTGCTAAAATATGGACCGAAATATCTACGAATTTGCTATCAACTGCATTTTCATGGGTTTTTGACATCCAAAGTTGCTTTTTTAAGCCGATTCCGAGATATTAAGATTGAACAACCAATGCAACTATCTGATACATCTCCTTTCGAAATTGACCACTTTTAGAAAGTCATAAAACACTTATTATGTGCTATTTGGTGTCCCTCTTGTAAAAAAAATCGCGCTTGACAAACACTTAAAAATTCCTACCATACTCTAAGTTGAGGCGAAGTCTGGAAAATTTCAAAAGGGCTTTCATTAGGCTAAGTACATTAATCTCACATAACTAAATACGGCATCGGATTGCTCTTTATAGACAAATGTTCGTTCATGGTTATGCGAGCCATTCCTCAAGCCAAAACCTTACATTTTATCTAAAAATCTTCTCCATTAGGATCTTCTTTTTTATGGCCTAACTGATACGAGGTTCTGCCATCTTGTACCAGCTAGATGTTCACTTCAAACTCACTACAACTGACGGAAGTTTTCGCTTATATAGACGACATTACACGTTTGACGCTCCATTTCTTACGCTCCGCACTTACCCAACACACATAATTCCAAATTCTTTATTGAAAAGTTAATTTATAATTGCCTATAAAATTGAAACTTCATGACGAGGTGGGCAGCGTAGCTTGTAGTCAGGATTAGGGTTGAGAAGGTTCTTATGGTAGCGAACCTAAAAATATCCAAGATTAGTGTTTATCCACTTGCCGCAAGAAATGAGTATGGATAAATTTGACCAGTGCTTTTTGATGTGCCGTGCAGCTATTAGGGTGAACGATAAAAATGGGACACCTTGAGAATAATTGTAAGTTTCTCAAGAAAAAGAAGTGATTAGACATTTCAATCTTGATAGATGTTAGAATATGTTATTCTCTTTCAGATAATACCTGTATAAGGTCATTTACATAATTAATATTTTTTATACTTGCTGAAATGCAAAGTTAGTGACTTCGATAAATTATGAACTTTGAACAGTATCTGCGCAGTGAAACATGTGAGACCACCCAAAGTACCACTGCTGCAAGGGGTGATGGGACAGTCACCAAATCCACGACGGCTTGGTGGCCTCAACTTTTAAAGTCAGGAGATATGGTCATTAGCAGCTTCGAGAACGACGATACGCGTTATTCAATTCCTTTCAGGCGAAAGCATGTTTTCTAGGTAACATCTGATAGAGCTTTTTATGTTCTGTCCATCCATGTGCAGCTTGCCTCAGATATCATCTATTTTCGGATAATATAGGGCAAAACATAATTTTTTGGTTTTTTCGCGTCAGAAATAATTTAATTTTCATTTAAATAATTTAATAATATAACAATTCAATTATATTAGATCGTTTCGGAAGTAATGTCGCTTTTTTCAAACGTATGCCACATCTCATAGAACAAAGATGTGTAGGAGATTCTGTTAGCATTTGTTAGCATTCTGCAGCATTTCATCCTCTTTCTAATGGTTATGAAGATGTTGCAATAAACTCGATAAGCTTCCAGAAAAGAGTCAAAATCTGCGACCTATGCTTTTTGAGATGGCCAACTTTCACAATTCTTCTAAAATTTTATAACAAACCTCAGAAGCAGTCCAAGTAATGGATGGATGGAGCAAACCCTACAGAAAACAGCACAACTTTTTTCTACTTTCCAGAACTCGTCCTAATTTTTGTACAGATTTTTTGATGGAACCACCGAATTTTAGCAGGCTCATCTCAGGCTCCCGCCAGAGTGCCGAAGTTATGCCAGCGCTACGCCAGCATTTCGATCGATACACGTGTATTTCGTTGGGGACGTCAGCTAGCCCCGCCCCAACGAAATACACGTGTATCGATCGAAATGCTGGCGTAGCGCTGGCATAACTTCGGCACTCTGGTGGGAGCCTCAGACACAAATGCATCAAACACCAAGAAATCATCGGATTTTGAAACTTACAAAAATGGATTATGGTTTTACACCAGTTTTATAAAGCAAATGAGCGTCTACCGCTTCAGATTAGCAACTTTCGAAAATTCTGGGTACAGCCGGAGGCGCCCTGGAAAACCTGAAATATGATGATTTTACCTCGGAAAACTCGATGAATCGGAAACCAAAAACAACTGGTAAAAAGAGGAAAAAAAGCTGCGTCGAATGACACCCGAGTTGCTTGCCGGTTGTTGTTCTGTGAGGTTTGAGTTCACCAAATATGGAATTTGATGGCATAAAAAAATTGACCCCAGAAACTCTAAGAAGCAAGCTAAGGAAAGGAAAAAAATTAGTCTGTGTTCTATAGGATTTCCTCTATCTACCTGCTACTTGTACTTTTTTTTGGAGAATAGGTACAAAGATTTTTAAAAATCGCCGAACTTAACCATGGCAAAAAGCATGAGTTGCAGATTTTGTTAATTTTTCGAAATCTCAATGAAAATTATGCAATGAAATTACAACCATTAGAAAGAGGATGACATGCTGCATCGAATGCTTCTAAGACCTCTTGAAAACGTTCATTCCACGAATAGTGGCGATCATTCGGAAAAAAACGACATTACTTTCGGAACGACCTAATATAATAATTTAATTTTAAAATAGTAAATTTTTCAGGTTTTTTCGCTTTTTTTCTGAAATTAAAGAGAAAGCTCATGCGCTCAAGAGCATGAAAAGCATATTCGAATGGTATGTTACTTGCTTTACGACTTTACGGAATAGCAGTGCAAGATTGAGAGTTGTTCAAAAAAACCCTGTCGGAGTTCTTCACAACGCCACGCGAACGGTTATGAGAGAGGAGCGGTAACGCGTTGCCAGTATGATAGGCGAAGGTCGGTTACGTAAGCGACGTTTGAGTTGCAGCCTGCTTGTTATTGGTGAAGACAAAAAATCTCAAAATGTAATAAAAATCAGGCTTTCCCATTTTTTACGGTTCACCCTAATAGTTATTGGTGGCACTTTACTTTGCGCTTTGCCGCATTTTGTTTCCAGAGGCTCGAAAGGATCACTTATGCTTATACAATCCTTAATGATACCAAATACTTTTTCTTTCTCTTTCACTCAATTTGCTTGAAGTGGAAGTAGAAAGTTTATGGGTGAGGAGGGACACTCAAAGATTGACACTGGTGGGTAACTGTGTCAGCTGCTTCATATGTGCTCTATTGACCGCTATGTTGGGAAATGAGTGATTCAATGTCAGGCTGTCAAAATAGGAAAAACAGCTTTCCAGTTGATGGACAGCTGTTTATCTTTGCCTTTGGGCTTAGCATTGCGATCAAGAATGTGAAAAGCCTTAAGTGTCTTTATCTTTACAAAGTTTCAGATGACAAGAGTTTTTATAATGAGTCAACAAACACCGCGCACAAGGCTGACAATGGGACGAGCAACGTTTGCCCTCCGTTCTTTGAGCAGCTATCTTGGTTAACGGATAGGCGAGCATAGTACCGAAGGGAGAACATTAGTATTGCTTTCTATATGACTGCAACGGTATCGAACATCTTTGCAGGAAATGGAAAGAGACAGAAACATTTGCATCTGCAAACACTTGCAACAAAAATTAACGAGCAAAAGCACTGAACGAACAATGTAAGCGCAGACTTAAATGAAATACCTCTTATCTGAAAGGGTTACGACTTAAATCAGAAAGTGCATGATACAGTAATTTATGGTGGTAAACATGCCCAGAAAAAGCATTAAAAAATCTGGTCCGTTAACATGCTTTACTGCCGGGCTTATTTGTATCACCTAAACAAAGGAAGTCAGGTAAATTGAATTCGCGTTTTCAGCTGAGACACATATGGTTGGAACCAGCTACAAACGCTGATTCCGGATATGCGGCGCATCATTTTGTGCGAACTATTGATTTTTTGGGTGCAAAAATTGCATGCTCATCTGACTTATGGGATTACTGTTCCAATATTTGAGTGTAAATACCCTGTTTACTTTCATTGTTAACGACAGTGGATTTGATTTGTTCCTATTTTGATAATCAGCATTTTTTGGCCACATTTCTGTCTTTAACCATTCTTTCCATGTTAAGTGATACGCACATAAAAAATCAATAACTCGCTTCAACATAATGTGTCCGCAGCTAGAAATAGCATATTCAGAATTAGAATAAGCGTTCAAAGCTGATTTCAGATATATGCGTTTCATCTCAAAACAATCTGAATCCTGACTCTCCTTGTTAGATTGCATTGTATGCTTTTGAAGAAAGGTCTGAAATTGCTCAAATTCTTATGCTGTATATCATACTGATTGTTTGAATTGCTCCGCCGTCTATATAGGAAAACGGTGGCCCAGTAGGAGCGAAAAACAGCAGAGCATGATGCGTGCACAGAAGATAGAACACAACTGTACCGATTACAATATCAAGTGGCAGCATTTCAGCCCATAGAGTCCTCATTGCAGTTGACAGCTGATGGACGGTTTTCATTTTGAATTGGAGCAGGCCGTTTGCGTTAGACACGCCACTGCAAAACCGTGAAGAGTGCTACACATACCGTGCTCTAGCAGCTGATCTGTTTCAATTCACATTCCAATCGTCCATCAACTATCTTCAGTAGGTACTATTATGCAAAAATCGATTAATCGAGAGGAAAGCCCTTGGCAATGTAATGAGAGAAAATAAGTGGTTTTCCCGTTAACTCTGGCTGCCCCGCTCAAAAGGCGAATTGCAGATTGAATGTTGCCAAAAAACGATGAAAATAAAACTTTTTCTATAGGAACATTTTGCATGTCAATATTATTGATTTATAATGAACCCCAAACCCTCCATTAGGAACTCAACAAAGGCAAGAAACAACGCACAAACAGAAACAAAAGACAATCTCCCTTGTAACTGCCTTTCGCCTCTCGAAGGGTCACCAGTGTAATTCCAACGAATATCGCGTAAATATATCAGAGAACACGAAAAAATGGCCAGTGGCAGATTTATGACAAAGCTTGCATCACGAGCTTGTTACTTACATGTTAAAGACGTATCATAACCGTGCCATCTTTCTGTTTAAACATATTAAAATGTCATTTTCTTTTTTATGCAACTTCCTAACACCATAGCTGCTCTTTTTAGACATTGCAGTCATCAGAGTACATTTGAAACAGCTAATATTGCCATGTATTGACGACAATGATTAAACCGTTCTCTGTTAGCAAACTTTCTCACACATTGACGACCAAGGCGTTTCATGGACCAGTGAACATTTTCTAGATAAAAACACGCAAAATTCCATCTACAGTACATCTACAGTAACGCTGAAATCCTGGCAAAAATAGAAGCGGGTGTGTCTATATCCAGCATAAAAGAAAATACCCGGGGTGGGTTTGACATAAAATAGTAGCCATTTCAACGACACATACGGTGTGTTAAACTTTGACAAATTATGTCAGGCGGTCGTCAATGTGTAAATCCGGCCAAGGTTTAAACTAAGAAGTATCGGGTATTTTCTAAAACGAAATCCCCATTCAATCTGCAAAAATCACGTTTTAATACAGTAATCAAAAAACCAATCACAACATTGAAAGAACATCAGAAACGTTATACGAATTGATGACGTTTGTATTAATCAATTTTGGGGGACGGAACTTAGGAACCCGAGCCTAATTAGCTCGATTCGGGGAGTGCCTGCAGGTTACAGTCAGTTGTTTGCTATCTCCGATTGTTCCCTAGGACAAAGTGACAACCCAAGCCCCGCCTTCCTGAGAGCTTGTTTTGGAACATGGCCGGGGAATGCTGGAAATCCCAATTGAACTTCAAAACACTGTAACTGGCTCTCAGCCAAAAACCTTCAAAATGGTCGTGCAAAGGTGAATTTAGGTTCAAACGAAAGAGAAGAATTGTGCCGTCATTATAACGTATCTACTAATCAAAACTAATGGAACCCAACATTCTTTTTATTTGTTCAAAAGTTTGAATGTCAATTTCAGACAAAATAGTGGGAAATTGTTCAAGAAGCTCTGAAGCTTTCCAAAATAATTTGAGTGCTCAATCCGAGCAAAAGATTAATAAGATATTTGAGGAGGGACATTTCAAAAACTTCCCAAAAATATCAGGTTGTGCCAAAAGTTCGTTCGAACCATTTTCAAAAATTCATAACTCGTTGACTTCTTGACGAATTTACAAGATTTCTAAATTTTGTATAAGAGTGGAACTCATGCTCTTTGCATGTGTGTCTGAACTGTTCGTTAATGTTCACAAATGAAGGAGATAGAAGCTCAGAACCAAAATCACTCAAAATTTGAATTTTTCGTGTGGAATCATAAAAATCGGAAACTTGCAACAAAAATCGGAGCACTCAGTATCGCAGGTACTTTCACCAGCTCTTTCTAACAGTGCAATTGCGTTGATTGAGCGTTTCTATGAAAAGTTATGATTTCCCTGAAAAATGCCAAAATAAATCAAATTCGCCCTTTTGTATTGTTTGCTCAAAAATCATGAACTTTTCATAGAGACGCTCAATCAGCGCAAACTTTGCACCGTTAGAAATAGCTGGTTAAAGGACCTACAATACTGACTGTTCCGATTTTTGTTGCAAGTTTCCGATTTTTTGTGACCCTACACGAAAAATTCAAATTTCGAGTGATTTTGGTTTTGAGCTTCTATCTCCTTGATTCGTACATATTAAGGAACAATTCAACTCATTTCATTGTTGCAAAGAGCATGAGTTCCTCTCAAGCAAAATTTTGATCGTACAAATTTGTTGAGAAATCAACGAGTTATGAATTTTTGAAAATGGTGCGAACGAACTTTCGGCACAACCTAATAATGGTTATTAAGTGTTAAAATTCGAGCAAAAGACGAGAGAATTCTGAAAAAGAAAATCGAGATTATCGATAGTAACAATAGGTAATTTTCATACTTCACGTTATCATTTATAAGGAGAATTTCGCCTCAAACTGTTCTTTCAACCTTTTCTTGCCGTAGGTTGAGTTCATTGCTTATGGCATTTTTGGCGGATGTTCTTCGCACATCAGAATCGTCTGTCGTTAACAGGCTGTCTTTCATCAGCAATATAAATAGTGAAGCCTTTGAACCGTCATCCTTGATGATTTTTTAGTCTTTCACGCGAATTTCGGCACCCAAACAAATATTTTTGAAAATTTTAACTTTTATTTACTGGATGATTTTCTAATCTCTTGCCCAGTTATTAAGAGATAAGTGAGCTATTATTTCTGATAAGTCTCAGTCCTTTCTTGATCGATTCTCTAGCCTCTTGCCCGAATTTCGGCACTTAATAACTATTATTTTTGAGAAATTTTGAAATGTCCTTCCTCAAATAATTTTCTAATCTTTTGCCCGGATTTAGCACTCAAATAAATTATTTTGGAAGGCTTCAGAGTTTCTTGAATAATCTTCCACTATTTTGTCTGAATTTGACATTTAAATAAACTTTTGAACAAAAAAGAAGGTTAGGTCTCATTAGTTTCAATCAGTAGATAACCTGATTTCACCTTCGTAAGACCATTTTGAAGGTTTTTGGCTGAGAGCCAATTACATTGATTTGAAGTTCAATTGGGATTTTCAGCATTCTTTGGCCAGGTTCCAAAACAGGCTCTCAGCTCAGACAATCGCTGGGGGCAGGCGGGCACCGGAAAAATAGAGTGCTGATTTCTTGCGCCCCGCTCGCGGATTTTTTGGAAAGCAATCAGGACTTTTCGGAAGACCGCTTGCTGAGTCAGCGGATTTTTGAGAGACCGCATGTTGAATTTTTTTCACTCTTATCTTTTGCAGATATATTGCTGAATCTCTGAGGAATCAAGAACTCAGCAAGCGGTCTTCCGAAAAGTCCTGATTGCTTTCCAAAAAATCCGCGAGCGGGGTGCGAGAGATCAGCAATCTGTATTTCCGGTGCCCGCCTGCCCCCGGCGATTGTCTGAGAGGAGGCGGGGCTTGGGTTGTCGCTTTGTCCTAGGGAACAATCAGAGATAGCAAGCATGACTGTATCCTGCGGGCACTCCCCGAGTCGGGCCCATTAGGCTCGGGTTCCTAAGTTCCCTCACTCATTAATTTTGGGTCATGTTATTTTCGGCCCCTTTCATGCGAGCGTGGAGCAGATAACGTCGCAATCCGCAAAACTTTTTGTCATTAGAACTATTGGGAAAGTTTGGGCTATTGGGAGTTATTATATAGAAGTCGAAATGCGGAAAAGCAGTGTCAAGAGGTTAAGACTTATGGAAGTAAAAAATATGATTTTGTATGTTAAACCACCTCAGATGGCCTACAAGTAGCAAAGGCCACCTGGAGAAAAAACTCTGCCACGTCCTTGGTTCAAATAAGATATTTATATTTATATTTATACGGTTGAATAAAAACTATTGAATATCAGTTAAAATCTTAGTCACCAATATCACAATTCTTATACCAAAAACTTTCGGGAGACTATGCTAGGCATGACGGCAATAATCAGGAAATGAAGAATTTACTTACGTTTTCAAGGGATCTATAGAATTGCAAATCCAAATTATGATCGACCTGGTCCAAGTGTGTACGATTGAAGAGCAGTTCATGCATGCAATCAACAATTGCATAGTCAAAGGCAGGATAAGGCTGAAATTTACCTCAAATTAATAATCTATGCATTTGTAAACCCCACCTTGTTAGCCACTAAACTTTTTCTCTCAGACAGATACTGCAGGTTTTCAATACCAAACACGCAGACGCCATGTCTATACCATGGGCAGTGAATTATTTTTTTGTGGCGGTACCAAAATGCTGTCCTGAATAGCAATGATTATTTAGAACAAATTTCAAGTTCAAGTATCAAAGCGTGCGATTTCAATTTGTAGACTGACAGCGATGATTATAAATTTTTCGCTTTCGCATTTGATAATGAGCATTAATTTTAGTTGGCATTTAAGTTTAGCACCTTTACGAATCTACATATAGACGATATCATAGTCCAAAGGAATGACTGCAAATTGATTGATGAAAGTGCTAGGTTGACATTCAAGTTTTGCATCTTGTCCCCTAATTTTGCTTGTTTTTGAATGTAGCGCGCTTATTCCTAGCAGTATATAGATTTATAGATTGTGATATGGGCTACAAAAGTGCATCTGAGCGCGAAAACTAATGAAATTTGAGGTTTCAAGGTTTTTGAGCAAAAAAACAGTACACAATTTAAGTCAAATATATTTAGAGAAACTGTATGCAGCGCGTTCAGAGGTCAGTTTATTGAGCAAAATGAAATTGAATTGATCACGGAATAATTCAGCGCCCTCAAGGTTCAGCAATTTGATGGCGTCGATTTTTGAGGGGCATCTGTCAATAAGCCGAGGGCGAAATCCCAGGTTTGCCGAAACTACAATGGAGCAGTTTGACATGCTGAACAGAATCATCATATTTATAGGTAAGATTTACGATTATGCCTTATTTACGGAAGGGGTCCTCTCATGCAGATATGGTATAAATTTTGAAATCAGCATGTCGAATGACCCCCTAAATCTAGCCCTAGCAAAATCTGAAGCAATGGAAATTTTTTCCTTATAACGCAGATCTAACAAGAAAATGATACTTGGTGACCCCCACCATGTGGAATGCGATGTATACCACAAGGTGCACTCGAAACGATGATTCTAAATCTGTCTCGATGTCTGCGAAACGATCATTTGAAGGCAGTTATGAACTTTTTCGTAAAGACTTTACGTGTTTTTAGGTAGTCAAAATCACCGGATTTGATCTTCTCACCGTCTCAAGCTATTAAGGAGAATTTTGAAAGGTGTAAAGTTGTATTTATATCTATCTAAACTATACTCAGTATTTGAAGAGGAAAGAAAAATTTTTATCAATGATTTTACCCTTCGCAATAGTGCAATTCATTTTTGAAAAAAAAATCATAACTGCATCCAGGTTCTCGTTTCGCCATGGAAAACAGTATTCGAACCAGCATCAAAAGGCGTATTTTTTGATATAAAACCATTATAAATGGCCGGGGTCGCTAAGTATCCTTCCCTGTTGAGATGCATAAAATGTTGAGATCTGGCGTAAGTTTTGTAGCTTTAATCTAAACAATATCAAAGAACGAATCCGCCAAGTTCAAAAAGACGAAAGGTTATTCAAGACTTCGCATTACTTTCAAAACGACAAAAGCTATATAAAAACATGCATTACATTACTTAAGTGTCATCCAATTATCATCCATTATTTTCTGCACCCTCCGTCATTGCCCTGCAGCGGTCAAAATCAAGTGGCAAAGCTTTGGCTACTCGATTAAAGAATTCTACTTAAGTACGATTTGACAGGGTATCGTTACATGTGAATGTCAATAACGCAGTTGCGTACAAACTGGCTGTAACCACCAGCCAGTTTGCACCAGCTGCAACAACCGGCCATCAAAACTCGCAACAATATCTCTCCACCACTTGTTAAGGTTTTTAGTATTTCTATATCATGTCTCCTATCTATCCAAAATTTTTTTGCAAAACCCCTAGACTTAACGCATTCAAGACAAAAAAGTCTCGAAAAAATATAATCTAATTGAACTGAACTTCGTACTCATCACAATAACATGATAACTCAACATATCCTTATGAACGTTGCGAATTTCATCACTAAAAAAGTCTTTCCATCTAGGTACGAAGCAGTGGCGTGCCCAGGATTTCCGTTCGGAAGTGGAAGACGAATGATAATTTTTTGATGAAGGTGCGTAGCATTAGCCATGCACCCCGAAAAATTTTTTTTGGTATGCTTCCTGATTTGGGGCCCTAACCCAAAAAAAGAACGTCGCGGCAGCCACGCTCCGAAAAAAATTTCTTCATGAGGCTAAATTGTTTTTTGAACTTTTTGAAAATTATATAAACTATTTACAAGCATGAATAAGTCGCCTCACATTTTTATAACTCATATAAGTAACTTTCAAAAATTCCGCGACCCATTCTCAGCCCCCTCCCCTCCCCCTTCCTTAGCACGCCACTGGTACGTAGGTATAATGACATGGTCATATTGAAGGAAAAAAGGTACATGACTAACCATAGGTCATTTATAAAATCGTGACGACGGATTCTACTGGGGTTTTTGCGCCACAGGAGCAAAAGAACTCATAATACGAAAAAGTATCACCTCAACTCTCAGCTCAGTCACTTCCAGTGTTTACATACTATCGTATGTAAATAGCAAAGCCATCTGAGTAGAGACGAAAACTAAGAAAATACCGGTTGCCGGGTATGCGTGCGTGTCGCTCGCTGTCGCGCCATCATCACGATTTTTCAAATCCTTTATGTATGACTAGCTTACAAGAAAGATATTAGTAATCTAAGATATTGAAACATGGACGAGTTACCTGCCCTACCGCTAATGTAAGCTTCTTCTAGTTTTTTTTTGTAAAAAATCACTTGCTGTTATTCTTTTCCGCAAAAGCTTAAATGCAAATAATTTTTTTTCACTGCTACTGCTTTTGTTTTCAGAATAAGTTAGACGTTTGATCTCCTTTTTAGCAAAACACACTGAAGTGTCTTTATTTCTTGAAATATCGCTTCCGCACGTGCTTCTTCCTCCACAACGAGTGCTAAGAATTGCTGCTTACTGCGCCCATTCTCAAGTCCCTTGCGTTGAAGCATAGGTACGATAGTGTATGAAATTGCTCCATCCTCTCTTCACTCCCGAAGCGGGAGCCAGGTGACCTCTTCACCAGAATCCGAGAACGAAAATCAACCGTGAGTTACGGTCATGTCTGATTTAACATCTGCAATCTAGAGTAACGACGTTGCTACGAGCAGGATGCATATATGGTTCATTTTAAAAATCGTGACGACAAGTTGACTGCGGACTTTGCACACACATAAGCATAAAACACTCATACAAACAGGCAACACCTCAACGCTGAGCTCAGTCACTTGAAATGTCTAATACTATCATATGTAAGCAGAAAAGCTATTTTAGTAGAGATACAAACCAATAAATGGGAATGCGAGCGTGTTGCGCGCGGTCGCACCATCGTCACGATTTTTCGAATGCCCTATATGTATAGCAAAGTATCACTCACTCATATGCAAAAAATGAACATTTTGAAAGGCAGAAAAGAGCACACGAAAATGGATTCTGTAGAAGAGGTAATAATTACGTTCTAAATTTCAGATTCTCTTCGCTTTGCACAATCAATTTGAGTTTGATGTACTCTATCGTACAGGACCAGAAAACAAACCTTGTGATGCATGGTACGCAACTTTGCTTGCATTCCTGAGTAAATCTTCCTGGCATCTGCAAATCGTCGCTCATTTGCAAAACGGCCCAAAGCAGCTCGTCTGTACCATATGTCTAAAGATGCTTAAAATTAGCCTATTTGAAGGTACAAAGAATCGCTTTGCTACTCAGTCATAATCTGCAAATCGTATGAGGAAACGCTTTGATCAAATCCTTAAATGTTTTGGCATCACAAGAGCTCGCGCATGGTCAGTTCTACAGATTGTCCTCAGAGGCAATCCCAGGATTTTTGTCCGGGGAGGGGGGAGGGGGTGGGGGGGGGGAGGGAGAGCGCGGCAAAAAAATTTTTTTAATGAAGGTACATGGCGTTAGCCACGCACTCCGAAAAGATTTTTGGGGTGCTTTTCAAAATTTTTGCGGTTCCCAACCCCCAAAATCTAATGGGCGTGGCATCAGCCGCACCCCCAAAAAATTTTTTAGAAGGCTCAATTTTAGAAAATTTTTCAAAATTATTTTAATTGCTTACAAGAATAAACAAGTCCTTGCGCATTTTTATAACCCATATAAGTAATTTTCAAAAATTTCGCATTTATTCTCGAGGGGGTGGTGCCTCTCCTCGGTCCGCCGCAGGTATCCACCATTTAGTTGTGAATAACTCTCTTGTCTTTAATTTAGAGGGTTTATGGATATTATTCTGTAGTGCTGACTTTAGTTTTAAAGCACTCTTAATGCCGTAAGGTAACGGTAGAAACTCTAAAGAGGGTTTCGAGCATGTAAGGGCATATTTTGCTTCGGAAAGGAAACAAGACCAAAACTTTCACACTGCGTTGAATAGAATTCGAAGTTTGGATAAAGCGGATAAAGTTTGGATCTTATAAGTGTTGAGAGTTTATGCCGGGTAAGCAGCAAATTTTTCACTGTTGTAAAAACTGTGGTTGCACCGTTTAAGGATGCTCACAGTCTTGTAAAAAAAATTGAGTATTCAACTCAGCGTCCTTGAAACCTTATTACAAGTATTTCTGCCTTTTCAAAAATTGTTCCAAACTGCTTTTTCACATTGAAGTCATATGCTAGAGGTTTCTACCGTCCTGCAGTAATGAACAACAATCGGCGATTCTATATTGTAATTTTAAGTTGAAGCTACCTTTGCAAAATTGTAGTTGAAAGTAAGCAAAAGACTTTTTGGGAAAAAAATTACGATCAAGCAGTGGATACACACTTTCGCGGCACCGTTTACAATGCTGAAACTTACAATTCTGCCCCATTTTGAGTGACATGTTTTTCCTTTACGTCAAAAGTGCTAATTGATTGACAAAAATTTCGTTCACACAATTGCAAGCATGCTTCTTCTCTATCGATGCACTTCAAAGCGATATGCACGATTTCACAATGTATTGCAAGCTTTTTATTACTATTCAGTAACCCATATTTCCCGTTTACATACAAAGCGCGAGTGTTGACCAGGTTCAAGCAAGGGGTGTGGCACACGATCGCTGGTTACGACCCCCCCCCCCCTGATTGCTGCCTTAATAAGACTCTTCCCCCCCCCCCTGAACTATATACCTAAGATAGCATTACCAGAGT